GCGGCGGCGGGCCCCTGGTGGGTCGCGCGCTCTCGCCCTCCAGGGCACAAGCCTCTGGCCAGTGCGGGGGCCGCTGGTGCCCCCTCCCCTGGCCGCGGCCAGCCGCTGGGGCTCCCCGCGTGAGCCGCTGGCCCCGACCCGGCTGCAGCGGCAGGAGGCCCGTGTGTCCTCTCACCGCCTCCTATGAGACTCTGCTCGTCGCGCTCAGGAGCCTCCTTGTCCCCCGCTCTCCCTCTCTCGGCGTTCGGGTCCTTCTGCCGCCGCCGGGGGCTCGCCGCGCCGCACTCCGAGGCTCTGGAGCCTGGTGCTCGGCTGCTCGGCGCCGGCAGGCTGGCTCTGTCTCGGGCAGCTCTCTTCGGCGCGGCGAGCGGACTGAGCACGGCGCCCGGCTGGCCCAGCTTGGGGACAGGAGCCTCCGTGCGCGGAGCAGCAAGCGAGTGTGCTCAGGGCTCACCGCCTCCCGCAAGGCCTCCCGCCTCCGCCCCCTTCCCTCCCCCTTCTTCCCCCTTCCCTCCCCCGCCCCCAGCCGCCGCCGCCTCCCCCCCCCACCCGCCCTCTGCTCGGCTGGTTCCACTGCGCAGTGGCGCGCCCGGCTCCGGCCTCGTCACGTGGCTGTCTAGACACCCTGTCGCTTTAAAAAAAAAAAAAAAAGCGATTGTGTTTCGCAAACAACAGATCGGGTTTCTAAAAGCTATTTCTCCCCCCCCCCCCCAACTCGCCATGGCCAAGCCCCTCCCGGATCTGAAGAAGGGGGACCAATGTATAGGGGGGAGGAGGGGGGGCCAAGAAGCTCCCAGAATCTACTGAGACCCAGCTTGAGCAGAGCAGAAATTGGAAGAGCCGGGAGCACCGAGCGGGCATCGCGGGCGAATTTTGGAGCGGAGCGAACGATCGGCTGCCGGGTTTAGACCGAGCGGAGCTCTGCAGGGGCAGCCCCGAGTGCGCTCGTGCCCTAGGACTTCATTCATTCGTTTTGCTTTAAAGGCCCTGGCGGCGGATCCCTTGGCCGCGCCAGAGGGAAAGAAGAGGAGAGCGCTGTCTCTGTAGAGAAGACATTTACACCGGGCTGGACCCAGGCCCTGGGAAGTGTGCGCTGGAGGGAACAGCCGGGCAGCCGAGGGCGGGGAGGCGGCGCGAATGTGACCTCAGCGGCGGCCGCGCGCTCCCTCCCGCCCTCTCCCGCTCCGGGCTCCAGTTTCTAGGACTGCCTGGAGAAGTGTGTCTTGTGCACAGCTCTGGAATGCATTTGGCCGGCTCACGAGCTGCGAGGGGCAGCATCCTGGCGGGAGAAGGGGGGGTGAGGGGGGCTCGCCTGCGCGCCGCCGGCAGGTTTCCTCCCGGGCCCGGAAGACCTCGTCACCCGCCTCCCGGCGCGGGAAGGTTACCCAGCGAGCAGACCCGCCTAGGGCGTTCATTTGCATGTGGGGCTGGTTTCGGCACCCTTCCCGGGTGCTTGGGGTCGGAAAGTTTATCAGGCACCAGAGAAACGTAGCCCCAAATGGAGACTGCGGCAAGCAAATAGGAAAGGCATTGGTGGGGCTAAGGACCTGAGCTCCTTCACGTCGGTAAAACTGCTGGTGTTGAAAACCGTACTACGGTATTTAAGTATTACATAGGCATTACTGAAGAGACCACTAGTTGGCTTAGTAACCTAGCTGCACATTGTATTCATGAAAATACGAAAGTTTAAGTCGCTTACATTTGAGAGATCTAGGTAACAGTGAAACTCATTGAGAATTGTAAAAACTCTAGAGTCGGTCATGGTGGCACACGTGCCTACAATTCCAGGAGGCTGAAACAGGTGGATCCCTGTAAGGTCCAGTCCATCCTGGGCTACATGAGCAAGTTCAAGGCCAGCCCACACTGGGAGGCTGAGGCAGGAGGACTACGAGGAGTTCAAGGCCAACTTGAGCCACTTAGTTTAAAAACTCCTGAACTGCACAGTGAGACCCTATCTCAGAAACAAACAGGGCCTGGAGTATGGTTCAGTGGCATGGCACTTTCTTGCAAACAAAGTCCTGAATTCGATTCCCAGTACCAAAAAAATGGTGAGACCCTGAAAAAAAAAAAAAAAGTGAGAGAATCTTTAGAAAAAAGTGAAATGTTTTTGCATCTTCCCATCTAAATTAATATTTGTAAAAAGAAAAGGGCAAGGGGCGGGGGAGATAGCTCAGTAGAATAAGAGCTTGCCTGGCAAATGCAAGGGCCTGAGTTCAGTCCCCAGTTCTGCAAAAAAAAAAGGGGGAAGAAAAAAAAATTTTTTTTTAGGGCAGGCATGAATCAAACATCTTAATAGCTCAGTGCTCTCCTCTAACAATCTAGAAGATTCCTAACATGCATAGTCGCTTAATTAAATATTTAAGCGATTAGAGGAACTGCTCAGCAGGACCCCTGCTTCCATCCTTAGCATTTTCCGCCCAACACTCACACACAAACTAGAAATCTGCACTTAACATGGGCTAGGGTGGCTTGTGAGATGGCTCAGTGGTCTAAAGCATCTATAAGCTTAGCACAGAGGACTGGGGTTCAATCCCCCAGCTCCACATGGCAACCAACCCCACCTACAGGTGGGCTGAGCTGCCCCTCCCACACACAAAATAAATAAACTTAAAAAAAAAAAAAACCATTGGCTAGGACTTATGGGGCCACTTAGATCACTTCAGTATATCACCTTTGGTGGTAGCATTCTGAAAGCCATATGGACTGCGATTGTGTTTTTATTATACAGTGTTTCTTATTAGAAAAAGCACTGAAACTGTGTGTGTGTGTGTGTGTGTGTGTGTGTGTGTGTGTGTGATGCTAAAGAGGCAACCTGGGAAGACAGCAGCCAAGAAGGGAATGGAAAAGGGTGACACCACAACCATATGCAGGGAAGGGCCATCAGGGCCAGGGAGATAGCTCAATACAATAAGCGCTTGCCTGGCAAATGCAAGGTCCGGAGTTCAATCCCTGGTTCCAGAAAAAAAAAAAAAAAAAAAAAAAAAGAGGAAAGGCAATGAAGAGATGGTTATGGGGTTTCTGAGGTATCTGGAAAATGTGTAATACACTCAAAAAGGCTTAAGCAAGATAGCATACTAGAAGTCAGAAAACCTGCTTTCAGGTTGGGGCTGTGCCACTCACAGGCTAAGCAACTTATGTTATGAGTGATCCTCAGCTTAAGTGAGCATTGGCAGGGTTCCCAAGGCTTTCTGGGCAGGTGTCTTGCCTCTCGGGGTCTTATTCCCTCTCTGTTCTGGGTCTCCCTAGAAGAAAGAGACCTGGCCAGGCTAAACAGTGACAGGAAGGATTAGAGGAACAGAGAAAGCCAATGTTACCACTCTAAGCTTCTTGGCTACATGGAGAATCTGAAGAGTCTTCTAGAAATGTGGCCATTAGTGCTAACACCCTTGGTGATGAGAGGCCAAAGCACACACAGGGCCGGTAGGTTTAGTGGGTGTTTCAGGAGTTAGGTCTGACGTCACAGCTTGTCTGGGTGGAACATGCATATACTTGCAGAGCTATGTTCCCAGCTAGTGTAATTGTGGGTGTTTTAATTCAGGCGTCACCCTTATTTTGCCCTCTCTACATGGCTTTCCTCTTCCATTTTACTATCCTGGGTAGAAGTGGGTGGGATGCTGGGCAAGTAGCTGCAATGATTGGGACTGCTTTATGGCTCCCTGGCATCTCCCGAATCAGTTAACATCCCAACCTTCCTGACAGCCAGCCCCACCCCATCACAGTCTTACTCCTTTCCTTTCCAAGAAAAAAGCCAGAAGCCAGGAGGCGGGCAGGCCAGAGAGAAGCTCTCCTGGCTGGTGTACCTAGAAAGGGAGGGCCCTTCTTTCCCTTCACTGGCATAAATGAGACCCACTGTCACACAGTTTCAAACTGTTCTGATCATTACACAAATTTTAAAAAAATAAAGTTTAGCAGCTTACCAAACTATTGTAAATGAGTTTGATTCTAATCATTTGCTGGCAGTGAATATGGAATCAAATATCTCATTTACAGTTGTTTATTTCCTGTTATGGCTTC